TCTCTGCTTTTTTCTCTCTTACTTAGCAATACTTTGTGCGTATATAGTCCGCGTAAAATGAAAATAGCTCGCTGTGACTTATAAGTGTAAAAATAGTATTAAAGTATCTTCTTGCGGAAAAATCACTTTATTGAATTCAACTCCCCTTTATTTGACGTTTATATTTTACATTTACGTTTTCAAATTTACATATTCTTCGCTGTGACTTTGTAATCTTTTGCGATTTTCTTGCCAAATTGTAAATTGTAATTAATTTGTCATAGCTTTAGTTATAAACATTCAAATCTTTCGATTTGAACGAGCGCCATTAACTGTTTTTATATACAACTGTCTCGTGAATATTATGTAATCACCTTCTTTCATGTACATTATTAACAATTTAACAAAGATTTTCATTATTAATCAACTTAATGAAATACTAAAAACTTATTAGTTATTTTCATTTCAATCATCCCCCTGCGCATTTAGCGCAATTTAAACTTGTAGCGTAAATTGTATGTATCGTATGTGTCGTTTCATTGTCGAGTTATATTCACAATACAAAGAAGAAATCACTTTATCGCAAACATGTCTCATTCGTTTGCTATTTGCGATTTAAATAAAGATTAGAATGCGTATATTACGAGTATGGATTGCGGATATGTTTACGGAAATTCATATTTCTATGAATGCAATTGAAGATATAAACAGAAATTCTCTTTATCCACTATTAAGTAAGTATTTAAGTATTTCGCATAAACGCATAAATATCAGTAGGCTAGCTGCGATACTTAGTGGATGAATCAAATCTCTTCGTAATTCATGAAATATGAATTTGCTTAAATATTCGTAATTTGATTATAACGAATACTATGCTTCAACATGTTTATTATATTTTTGCAACATTATGCGTATTTTTGCACATTGAGTTTTCTCGTAAACGTACGTGCAAATGCACACACGTAATCCAATCATGAACGTATGAATAGCCAAAAAATCATAGGAATAGTTCGATTTTCTGCGATTGGCACACCTGCCTGCAGGTTAACCTTATTCAATGAGTAGTTCTTAGCGTGCGGCGAGGTTCATATTGTGGCGATAGTGTCGAATTGGTACTCAAATGACAGGTTGTGTCGTGCTCTGTGTCGGTATTCCAGCTAAGTAATAATAATATTTCTGAATTATCCGGCGTCTGTATTTGTATGAAACGTTGAGTACAAACGTTGAAAATTTCGAGTGTGTTAGGTACGTTTCTCTTTGTTCTTTCGACAACGAATTCGATCGGCGAATACTTGATATCTCAATGGCTGTGTAACTTTTCATTATATTTTTTCGAACAACTTGTACGAAATAGTTTTGCAACAGTTTGTCTTCGTGCTTCTACATCGAGAAAAAGCAATTTAGCAAGTGACGATTTGATATCCGTAATATTGTAATTGTAATTGATAAGCATATATTGTTTCAAGGTAATATATAATTTATTATTATTATTATCATTACAAGAATTATTACATTACAATTTTTGCTGCGTAATGTATATTTCGCGTTGTATACAAATTTTTATCGCAACAATTGTTCCAGCAATTGAAATAATTTTCGATCGAATAAATTCTAGTTTAAAAAAAAAAAAAGAAAGAAATCAATAATACAGTGATGTATCGTTTTGAAAATGAAATTACAAGTAGAAATTCATCGTCGTAAGGGATTTTATCGATAAGTTGACAAATTCCTTTTTTTTCTATTTTTCTAGTTAATCATGGAATTGGAGAATTGTAATTCACACGGGGATCACGTACCACCTCAGCACGAAAATGATCCTAGCGGAAATAAAAAGTGGTATCGACAAGCTAGTCAAAGGTTAGTGATTAACTTCTCATTGACCGTAATGCGAAATTTCCAAATTTTCGAATTTGCCAATGCAGCTTGACTAAGAGAAGTTGATGAGGCAGAGCAATGCCATTTAAAGGATATTTAAATTATAAATAATCTATTTTACATTGAAATTTAATTCTTAACGCAGTAGAGTCTCTGTTATCCAAACCACTGTTTTCTTAATATATAATATATTATATATATTATATTATATTATATTATATATATTAAATATATTTAATATATTATATTATATTATATATATTAAATATATTTAATATATTATATTATATAAAATATATTTAATATATTATATTATATATATTAAATATATATTATATTATATATAATATATATTAAATATATAATATTAATAAAATATTTGGGACAGGAGCAAAGGAAGCTTTACTCTAATAAAAATCTGCATTTTGTAATTATTATGTACATTTCGATGGATATATTTGTTTATTTTATTACACGTTTTATTTATCCTCGAAAGGTATCGCAACTTAAGAAGCTTAACGAAATTGTTTCGCAAATTATTTTGAACGGCGTATTATGGAGAAATGTGCCCTCTTTGAGGGCTTGAGCTGGATTCAACATCTTGTGTTCGTCGATGTTCTTCATTAGACTGCGTATGTGTTTGCGCACGTTTATGGAAAATTTAAATGCATAGAAAAGGTCCCGTTGTCTCTAATATTCTCTGTTCATAGAAATCACGAAATTCGCGTGAATCATCGGCAGTCTGCTTATTATTATCTTCGACGAGTCACCCTAAAGCGCAAAGGTTTTACGGTATTCTCAGTGATCCTCAAGGCCGCGGCAACAGCCTACGCACACCACGCAGCTAGATCATGCCACGCGAAAATAACTTTACGTAGGTATTTCTACCATGATCGTGGAAACGATTTGAGAAATTATTAAATTCTCAGCCATGCTATCGAGACCCAGATAACCGCAGACGACTGTAAATGTTAAAAACATCATCTCACTGATAACTGGGTATATTCCCCCATTCTGTGACAAAGACTTGTGTTTCTTAATCATTGGCAAGCAGCTAATGAGAAATTAAGATTACATTTCTTTGACGCGCGTATTCACAATTCAATTTCAAATTCGATTCTTCCCACAGAAACATTCAGAATTCGATTTATCTTTGTTTTCCCTACTATGTCGAATTATAGATCGTTTAGGGATCGTTTTATGTCTGTCATTTCACCTTCATACACAGAATATGGAAATTCAATGTAATATTTTCGGTTATCTTTCCGAGAAACGCGCATCACGGCCTGTTATCAGAATCCGCTTTATTGCAGCCTTGAACGACTTAATAACATGCAACGCGGTGTAGATCACGTAGTAACAATTTACAAATTACAGCGAGGCTTTCGTGCAACCGTGTGAATGTAAAAGTAATGATTGAAATCCTTCGTTAACACGTTCCGTGCCAAGGCATTTTTGCCTTTTGTTGTCGTTCAGGCCATTTGATTACATCATCAATCGATAAGTAGTTCTCTTGTTTAGAGTAGCTATCACATCCTGTAAATATTACCACTTGTGGTAATATTATTAGAAATATGCTGGTACACGTGGCCTGGTACCACCTGTGGTAATATCATCATTAGAAATATGGTGGTAACACGTGGCCTGAAGATCAAGTTTAACGTGTTATTAGAAAATATGGCGATACACGTGGCCTGAAGATCAAGTTTAACGTGTACCACCGGTGGTACACATGGCACAGAACGTATTACCCTATCGTCTTTATCCATCAACAGGAAATCGAGGTACAGAATTTCCAAATTTCCCGGGATTTTTTTCGAATCGCGAAATCATGTATATTATATATATTATATATATATTATATATATATTCATACATGTATATTATATATATTATATACATATTCATACATGTATATTATATATATTATATATATATTCATACATGTATATTATATATATTATATATATATATTCATACATGTATATTATATATATTATATATATATATTCATACATGTATATTATATATATTATATATATATATTATATATATATTTGATTCGATCATATGAAGAGCTCGTGTACTTTTCCTTCTAGCCTATCATCGTCACGCGAATGACCCCTGCAGCCTTCTTATCGTTGTTGTCATTCCCATTTGTCATGTTAACATTTTCATGTTATTCGCCGGCTTTTAACGCGACTTGTGACTTGTGAACTTTTTCATTGAACTCATTACGTCGTTGTCATTCGCGCTGGTCAGTTAACTAGCAGAAGCTACCGTAAATAACTCTTGATCTCATTTTCTATTTCTCTTTCTCTCTCTCTCTCTCTCTCTTTCTCTCTCTCTGTTTATCTGTCTTCCTGTGTTTGAAACGTTCCGTGATCGATTCGCCGACGACGAGTTCAGTTTCCAATCGATCGAAGTTATGAGCCGTGAAAATGCGAACGTGCCGGATACAACGCCGGGCAGAGCTGGTAATTTCTTTCATCCGTTCTTTTCTATTTCTTCCCCCTCCCCTTATGGGATTTTCTGTTCACGCACACGTACGGTGCAACGTACGGTGAGAAACGATAAAGCACAATACGGCTATTAATATTACGCCTATACGAGACGAAACGTGTACAAATCGGGCTAAAATTAGACACCGTGAGATTTCAAGTCTCTCCCATTTGAAACGTGGTTTGCTTGCTTTCGTTTCCTTTGAAACGAGTCGAGGAAGGAATCAAGTCAAATGGCTGGGGAAGGAAAATGGAAAATCCTTTTTTCCCTCTCTTCTTTTCTTGTATCATTCGCGAAAAACGCGCCAGTAACAACCAGCATGTTCGAATGTTCTGGAACAGGGTACGAAGTCCAATTGCCGGATGATTCGAACGATGTGTTTTACAACTTTCGTTTATCGATCGAGAGAGGAGAGTTGTTTTATCGACCGATGCTCGGCAACCCTCTAAATCACGGTGTAGCAATGACCAGGAATGATCGTAGCGAACAAGATCTGGATAGCTACAACGAGGGTGGTCACGGCCTGCGAACAGATAAGCGTGAATTAGGTCACAGGTAATTTTTTCTTTTTTCCTCCTTTTTTCTCTCCTTCGTTCTTTTTTTTTTGCGCATTCCACATCCACCGCGATTACATCATCCTCGAGTGACGATTAACTTACGAATTTCGCACGAAGATGGAATACTATTATTATTGAATTATTCGTCGAGGTGACGAATCTCTCAGAAGTATAGATTAAATTTATTAAATTTATTAAATTTATTAAATTTATTAAATTTATTAAATTTATTGACATAGTTCTTAATTATTCTTGACGAGGGGGCAGAATTCTCTCTCTCTCTCTCTCTTCTCTGTCCATTTTAGAATATCCGCCGCGACGATTTGCCGTGTAATTCCTACAAAATGATTCGAAAGAACTGTTAATTATCAGAGCGTTGCAATTCTAGTGCATGCCGACAGTGCGTCTGTGCGCTAATTTTTTCTCGATGCAAGTGCGTGGAAAATTTCTTCCTTCGGGTTCGTGTCCATGTAGTTTACGTAACTTCTCACTGCAATGCAGATGTTAGCGCCAGGGGCAATAAAAGAGCTTGCAGTACCTCTACAACTGTAAATAAAGAGAGATTGCATGATCGTATTTAATTTATAACTCGATCGAATTTAAATCGATCTGGATGCGTGTGTGTGATTTTTATGGAGATTCATATTTTTGAAAAGCAAATGAAAGCATCATAGGAAATTGTTTTTATCTACCAAGTGTTTCACGTTTTTTTTTTTTTTTTTTTTTTTTTTTTTTTCTTCATATAAAAGTGTTATAGCTTATAAATTTCATGTAAATGTATAAAAATTCCGTCGTAACGATAAGAATTATTTATCTTCGTTTGCGCTCTATTTTTTTCTTTTTTTTTTTTTTTTTAAGTAGATTAATACCTGCTCTCTATCTAGAGATTTGTGATAGTAAGTTGAAAACAAATTCCATCGGACCACCAGCCGATATCTTTTTTTTTTTTTTTTTTAAATGCAAGATGGACAACGCTAAACGCGACATTTCGCAATCGCTTCGTGCGCCATTAACTCGCAATCAGCCTTCTGGTGTTCCTTTATCTCACCAGTTCTTTTATCTCACCTCGAATGCTCCACGTTTCATCTAAAACTTCGTCTGCACAAACGTTCAGAAATCACTTCGTCACGACCGATCCGTTTCTTGTTAGATTTCTATGATTTCAAGCTTTCGAAAAATGCACACAGATCGAGATCGATCACGAGTTATAATTAAATTATATAATTCATTGGCGGAAATTTTTCTACGAAATTTAAAGAAATATCATAAAAATATTTAAAGTACACCATTCACTGTAACACTCATTTCTCTACTTACCTTCGGTAGGTGTAGAAGTTTTGCATTGCATAATTTTTGAATTTTTAATATGGCTTAATTTCGTTATGCTAGAGAGAACACGGAAATAAAGTTAAATTCCTATAAAAATAAAATTAAATTCAATAACGTGCAAAGTGATATATAAAAATATCTAAAGTACACCATTCACTGTAATACTCGTTTCTCTACTTACCATCGGTAGGTGTAAAAATTTTGCATTGCATAATTTTCGAATTTTTAATATGGCTTAATTTCGTTATGCTAATCTCTCTGTCGGAGAGAACACGGAAATAAAGTTAAATTCCTATAAAAATATCTAAAGTATACTATCCACTGTAACACTCATTTCTTTACTTACCATCGGTAGGTGTAGAAGTTTTGCACTGCGTAATTTTCGAATTTTTAATATGGCTTAATTTCGTTATGCTAATCTCTCTATCGGAGAGAACACGGGAATAAACCTTAAATTTTTGTAATGCAATATAAATTGTGTTTCGTGACTGCCATAATTACATATCGGGATGATGCGACTTTGCAAAAAAAAAAAAAAA